GTACAACTTTAGTACGCGGAGCAATCTGTGGAGCTGGAAGCTGAGAACTGGCGACTTTGTAGTACAACTTTAGTACGCGGATGAGTCATCTCTCGCGGCTGAGTCATCTCTCGCGGCTGCTCTGGCGCCCCTGCAGCTGAGTCATGTCTCCCGACCACCCGGCTCTGTTGAGAGGTTGACACACACACAGAGACCCACGCACTGCCTCAACTTACTCGGACACACACACAGACAGAGACTCATACGCACACAGACATAGATACACACACAGAGACCCACACACTGCCTCAACTCACTCGACTTAACACTTCACTCACACTGAACACTTAACAGATAACTCACACTCTGACTTCCTACGTGATGAAAAATGCTTTCGGGCCACTCGTCGTCTAGTTTCCAGAACCTCGAGAAACCAAAAAAATACTTTACTTCGAGTGATCATGGTCGTGAGTATGGTAGTTATCGATTTTGCTTGTGGGTCCTCGGGTTGTGTGCTGCGGTTGTGTGTTGCGGTTGTGGTTGTGTGCTGTGTTGTGGTTGTGGTTGTGTTTGTGATTGTGTGTTTGTGGCTGTGTGTTTGTGATTGTGTGTTTAAGGATGTGTTTGCGGTTGTGCTTGTGGCTGTACGTTTGCGGTTGTGTCTTTGTGGTCGTGTTGTCGTGGTTGTGTGTTGTTGTGGTTGTGTGTTTGTGGTTGCGTGTTTGTGATTGTGTTTGTGGCTGTGCGTTTGTGATTGTGTGTTTGTGGATGTGTTTGCGGTTGTGCTTGTGGCTGTACGTTTGTGGTTGTGTCTTTGTGGTCGTGTTGTTGTGGTTGCGTGTTGTTGTGGTTGTGTGTTTGTGGTTGTGTTTGCGGTTGTGTGTCTATTGTTGTGTGATTGTGGGTGTGCGTTTGTTGTTTATGTTTGTGGTTGTGTTTGTGGTTGTGTGTTTGTGGTTGTGTTTGTGTTTGTGTGTTGTGGTTGTGTGTTTGCGGTTGTGTTTGTGGTTGTGTGTTTGTGGTTGTGTGTTTGTGGATGTGTTTGTGGTTGTGTTTGTAGTTGCGTGTCTGTGGTTGTGTTTGCGGTTGTGTGTTTATTGTTGTGTCTTTGTGGTTGTGTGTTTGTGG